TAGACCACAAGTGTATGCCAAGAAGAGGCCAGTTACCCCAAGAACGGACAGTGGCTGCCCTGAGAATGGCCGATGATATGATCATCTCCAGCACTCCAACCTGGCCATCATCCAGGAAGTGGCTTCGGAAAGTGATGGCTGGGGCTATAGCCGCAATGAAAAGGTACAGAAGTGTTGAGAGCGACTTTTGCACGTTTTCTCCCGTGAAGGCATCGGTCCAATCACTGGCAAAGAAGGGCGCACGACGCTTCAAATCCGCACGCAGGCCAGCCGGTGAAGTCCAGTGGGCCGTAGTCCTTCTTTCCACCGTTCGCAATGTAGCCCGACTGGTTTCGCACCACTCCTGCGGCCTCCGACATTGTCAAATGCTGCCCTTGACACGATTTGCACCGAACCAAGCTCTGCCTTTTTCGCCTAAAGGGCTGCGCAAGCGTAAGAGGGATTCCCCCGCCAAAAGCATTAAATGTCAAAAAGAAAGAAAACGAACCTGTGGTCCTTGTGCTTCCTGCTCCACTCTGGCCTGAACTCCGACTCCCCCCCACGTCTCGGGCGCCGCGTCAATTCCCACCTCCACGTCCCTGCTCTGCTTCATCCGCACCTGAGGCGTGGAGGTGACGGGGTCCTTAGACCGGCCTTAGACCCACCATGACCCACCCAATTCTGCTTCAGACCGAAAGACCCCAGCGTGGCTTGACTCATGGCACACACACCCTGTGGCGCTAAAGGCCCATTCGCACACTCGCAGTAGTATCGACGCACAGCCATTGGGCTATGTGGATCTGTTCGATGGAACTAGAGGAGGGTTCAAGACGGTCTGTTCACCTCTTCAGATGGATGGGGCACCGCAGCACTGTGGTGGATGGATCCTGCTGAGCCCATCCACCGCCCTTCGGAGGATAAACATCGCGCGTCGTCCCGCTGATTGGAGCGTCGTGCCGCCCAAGGAGTCAACAAATCACAGTGTAAACGCATCAGATCAGAGGATGATAACGTGCTAAATTTTGAATAACAATTCTTGACACCCTGTTTGTTTTAAGGGTCCTCTATTATGCCAATTTTGGGGGGGATCCTAATGTTTTATCTGAAAAATATTTAGGGTTCACTATATGTCCGATAGAAAAATAGAAATAGTAATTACTACTAAGCCAATGGTTGGCTTGCTGAGAGTATTGATAAGTATCTATAGTTCTTCTTCAAAACTGATAGCTTCCCAAAACCATCAATTCCCTAATCAATCCTTTATCTTTATGTAAAGATTGCTCCTAAACAAATTTTCAAGGTAGTAGACCAGGAAGGCCCGTGATCCTCAATAATGAATTTGCTTTAAGGGTCATCAATTGTGCAATGTTTCTTCCTGAAGAAAAACAACATAAATCTTAATACTACTAAGCCAATGGTTGGCTTGCTGAGAGTATTCATAAGTATAGGTTTCTATAGTTCTTCTTCAAAAATCACAGCTTCCCAAAGCCATCAATTCCCTAATCAATCCTTTATGTAAAGGTTGCTCCTAAACAAATGTTCAAGGTAGTAGACCAGGAAGGCCCGTGATCCTCAATTGTGCAAAGTTGTTTCCTGAAGAAAAATAAAAATAGAATTCAAATTCTTAATGCTACTAAGCCAATGGTTGGCTTGCTGAGAGTATTGATAAGATTTGATAAGTATAGGTGTCTCAAGTTCTTCTTCAAAACTCACAGCTTCCCAAAGCCATCAATTCCTGAATCAATCCTTTGTGTAGTAGTATGAATGGATTGCAAAGAAATGCAAAGAATACCTAATGACAAAGAACTTCAGAAAGGAAAATGAATACTACAATCAATTACAAAAGGAATCCTCCTAGGAACCCAGATTTGCTTTGGTAGTAGTTTATTATAGAGGATCCTCCATTTGACGGGACCCCCCTTTTACTAATCAAGATCCAACATCATAGAAAAAGTAATGTAAAACAGTATCAGTCTTCCAAATGACTTGGATTTAAAAAAACATCAATACATATCATCTGTCCCTCATCCCAACTCCACCACGGTCCAACGGAGGTCCCACGCCGAACTCGGGCCACCAGTGGTTCCACCTTCTGGTTTGGTCCCACGTTCCGCCTGAGACATGTGGTTCAAGTACTTCACCAACCAGGCCCCGCTCCTGGAAGACGGATGCACTCTCTCACGTGAGTGGATGGCAGAGTGGATAGCGGATCCTGCATGACAGGATCGAACAGTGGTGGCTTTTCCATGGAACCCACGTGACGTTCCTGCGCGGAGGACACAGCAAATCGACCGAGCGAATCCATTCATATGCCATATGATCCATATGGAGGATGTAAAAACCATTTCTCACAGGGAAGACTTATTCATCAAGGCTTGGCAGAAAAGAAAGACATCTTCACTCCAGAGGAACCATGAGAAACCCATCGAGGTTTAGCTCTCTCACCATGGCCCCCGGGGACACCCCAGCGCCTCTCTTCCGCGTGCCGTGTACATCGAATCAGCACGGCCTCTTCAGGCCGTTTTCGGGCTGAAGCGCAGCGGCATGGATCCCCAAACAGAGGCCGTGTGGCACTGGGGTGTTTCGTGTTTCGTGTGTCTTGCTGGGCGCCAGGGGGTCACCTTTCCAAATCTTCGGAGGCTTACGTTCATTTCGCAATCTTTGTGTTGATGTTAGTATAGGTGAAAGGCTTGCGATCAGAGAGAAAAGGAAGGAAGAATTGGGAAGGAACATCTCACAGCTGGATGTGGAGGAGTTTCCCACACCTCGTAGCTCAGTTGCCCACGAACTGAACCGCTTCGGTGAACCCAACGGTACCAGCGGTTACCCGCGGATCCGTACCAGTGGATCGGTCGTCCATGAACACGGGGGGGAAAGAAGCCCCACTCACTGCATTTGTTTGCATGCAACCTTCATTTGAACCCAAATATCACGTGGTGTGTGTGTATATATTATATATATGTAACTATGTATACATATATATATATATGTACCTAAAAGCGATGGCCTCCAATCTATATTATTTATACCCAAGAGTTGGATATCCGATCTACAAAGAATCAGTGAGATTGGAAGTTCCCCTGCTTTGGAAGTGTTCCCTGCTATAAACTGGCAGCCATGTCCCTGCTCGCAAACCCTACCGACCCGGTGTGAACTGGTGGGAACCTCAAAATGTGGGATCTTTCAAAATGAGTCGGAAGACAGGAAGGGAATCGAAAAAGCACATCTGCATCTACTGCACATCTGCTTCTTCAGGCTTTCTTGTGCTTCTGCCTCCGCTTTCTCCAGCTTGTAGTTCTTCTTGTACCTGCCCCCAGCAGAAAATCATTCCGCTAGAAGCCCCACTGGTCTTACTTACAACGGCGGTGCGAGCCTGTCCACCGAGAAAAAACACAAAGAAGGACTTGGTTGCAATTAGCAATGCAGCCCGATGTAAAGGCATTCGAACTTCTGAATTCTGCAGGCTTGCTGCCAAACCTAACCATGCTGTGTATGGTGACTTGCCCAAGAAGTATGAGCAAATGGATGGAACCCAGCACAAGGGGTGTTAAATGTGGGAGACTCATGACCGTCAGGAAAACTGAATGAGGGCTTAGTGCACACGAGCTACTGACAGCAACGAGGGTCCAGCCATGAGTATGGACATGGGCCTGATAGTCTCATAGTCTCCTTTGTGCCCTGTCAAACGTCCGTCATTGATGCAACTTGAATCCACCATTTTCCTTTTGACGTTTGACCGTCTTTGAGACCCCTTTTGTTCGTAGGTATTGAAAACCACCTGAGGGACTCGTCTCCAGATTGGTCAATCGGACATGTTGGAAGAAGTGCTGCTGCACCGGAAACCCAAAACATTGCGCGTCCGTGCACTTCCCATCTCAAGTCGCACAAACGTTTTGACACCCCTACAAGGCGTCCCAGAAGGGGTCGCAGGGGTCATGGCAGACAGAAAATCCCTGCGTTTCCACCGGCAGAAAGGTCATGTTTTCCCCGATTTAATGCACCTCCATGGGTGAGACTCTCAGTGTGGCAACCCTGCTTTGGGGGCGTGCCACAATAATGCGTTGAGTGACCGCACCCTGCCAAACAGCAAGGAGCCATCCAAGTGTCCGGCGGACTGACAAAAACACAAGTCAAGTAGCAGCACCTTCTTTAGGATCTTTAGGTCTCTCGTTGAGGACAAGAACGACAGAATCTTGTGGCTGCTGGAATTCTTTGGCCCTCAACAGCTTTGGCAGAGTCTTTCAGCCATAAGCTTTGATGGGAGACTGAGCGTGAAACGGACGGCGCGCTCCTCGCTCCGCACATGAGTTTTTCGGGTAAATCCAAAGTGCAAACAAAATATGCCAAATATACTGGCCAAGAACACAGTCCGGTTCACAGCTTTACAATTTGCATACCATCATAGACTGTTTTGTAGTCAAATAGCAGTCTGGGTACGTCAGGTCTCTGAATTGGTCTAAACAAGTGCACATCCATGTTCATCGCCTTTCTTCACTTCCTTCGCGCAAGAGTTTGGGCACGCAACCGCCGCGAAACATCATCGATTGCCCTTCGGGTCAGGAAGAGAATCATCGGCGGTCCCCACAGGACCCGCTGGCGCTGACACGCGCCGGGGGCCTGGTCACCCCGCTGAGAATGCGGGGAATGCGGAAGATCAAACTGCTGCATGCGTCTGTGTGTGTGTGTTCCTTCATGGGAAAAAAATAGGCTGTGCTGGGAACCTCAACAAGGACTGTATTGAACATATTGTATCCCAATTGTATGAAAGATGCCGTTTGATCATTATTTATCTTCGCTTGGATTCATCTTCTGTACGTCACTGGATCAGGATCAGGACCTCTGAAGGATTTGTTGGAAAACGTCCCTTCAAGTCAATCTGAATCAGAATCTATCAGCTTTCTCCAAATAGAGAGTTTCATGGCTGGTTAGGTGCCGAAGGATGTTCTATTTGGCATCAGGATGTCCTGTTTTCAGCCAGGACTTCTAACAGCCAGGGGGGGTGGCGTTCCAAAGGGTCGCGCCTACGGCAACATCCGTCGAAGTGCTCGTTCGTAGTACCAGGGAATGTGCTGAACTGACCTGACCAGTACCAGTGACTGGCCGCAAGCAAGTGGGTTGCGCAAGAACGGGGTTGAAGGTTAAATGGATTCAGCTCCGAGTCGAATGACATCCAATGACAAAAGTATGCACGGGTGAAGATTCAGATTCACCTTGAACATCGCAACTGTCCCTGTGAATTTCCGTCCATGGAATTTGTACTCTCTATTGCAACCATCTCTGGAAGGTGTCGACCTAGGGCCTTAGGGTCCCTGCTTCTTTGCAGCCAGCTCCGTCATTCGATCTGGCAAGTCTTGCTTAAGGACCTCGGTCGATGCTGCGCTTTTGTCGCACGCGGAGTTTGTTCGGGTGTCGTGGTGCGGTCATGGAACACATCGACTCCATGTGAGTCCTGTGTGCCTCAAATAGGGAGAGTTGCAACCAATTTGGTTTTGATCTATGAATGCTTCTAATGCATTATCTGGATGTGAGAAAGAAGAGAAACCGAAATGAATTTGAAGAAGATATAGATAGAATCTCTATGTTCCTTCTCTTCCAGAGATATCCTTTATCTTTGGTCCCCATTCTACACACAGAATCTATCCAAGCGCGACCGGTCAATCGTCGACCGACTCCAAGGACCGAGGGAATCCCCACTCTGTCGATCAGCGCGTTTCGCTTCACCGACTTCTTTTGCGCCTGAACGAAGAACGGTGAACGAGTCAGAGGGATCCACAGAGCAACAGAAATACATCACATCTGATGTGAATTGTTGACTAATGACCTAGTGTAATCTACATTGTAGGCGTTTGATCAATAAACTACTCTATACAAGTGAAGAGATTGTACGATCCATGTCTGGGCGGGTATTGAATGGTAATCATCAAGAGTCTATATATTAGGTGTTGCATCTAAGTTCCACACAGCATATGCAGCAAAATCATGTGAAACCCATCTCCCTGCTGACCGACCCAGCTGCGCGTCCTCCAGGACCATAGACGCGCCAACCGTTCGAATCAGGGCACTCTGCATTGCAAAGTACTGAGTGTCCTCATGCAACACCGAGCACCAGTGAAGGATCCATCAAAAGATCCAAACAACAGAAACCTGGTTCTTCAGTGACCGAACTTGATCCCCAAATTTGAGTCACTTGGCCTCCAAAGAGGCCACCTTCAGGACCTGGCACCCGAACTTTGGGAAAAATCGAAAGCTTGGACCTTCGCAAGATGGGTCAGAATCCGAACAGTCTCCTGAAACCACCAGGGATTCCACTCGCCTCCTTTTCGTCGGAGCATCGCGTCCCGCATGCCGGGTGGTCGGAGAACCAGTCCCAGACCGGCAGCTCTCAATCTCCATTCGTTCCATGTGAGTCTCATGTGAACGGAAAAGTGCCTGACAGGAGATTCTTCTATTCATGGTTCATGGTTCCAGAACAAAATATGTTACATTAATGTTACTATTTACCAGGGTTGGGTCGGCGCGTTTTGTTCGAGTCACACCCATCTGTTTTGAATTGCTTGGCATGACAAGCATGTCCTGTGCTTGCATTCAACATCAAAAAGCCCCTCTACAACAACCTGCTGCGGGTGGTGAATCCTTGATTGTGATCATTGTGGAAGGAAGTGGCTCAGCCGGTCTCTAAGGTTAAACTGACAAACGTTTGGATCAGCATAAACTACCAAGCTAGGACCTAGGTCAACTTACCCATCTGCAAAGAACCATGGCATCAACCTCTTACCAGTACCTCTTGACTCAGCCCCTGCACCCGGAGCCATCATCGGAGCTCTCCACCGAGCGACCCCAAAGCCATCACCGTTGACGCTTTGTCGTGGAGAATCTCTGCTGGGCGGCGGAACCTGAGCGAAGGAAGCAGGTGACCTACCAGCTGTGCTGGCAAAGAAAGGAGAAGAAGGTGACAAAAAGGTGACCTGGAGGAGGGGGTGATCTAGTGATCTACCTACCCTTTGACATCTGCTGCTGTATTACTATATAAATGATACTAAATGTATTACAGTAATATATATATATATATTTTTAGTATTGGCAAAAAGATAAGTGGTGTAGGATTTGGGTCGATGTCCGTTGAGAGTTTGGTTTCTTGAGACTCCGCAGCTCTCAGGTCACTTAACAGTACAGGCTCTCGAATCCTGGTGCTTCAAACCCTGGTGGCTTACCCAGCGTCTCAAATCCTGCGCTGTGCCGTGCCCCGGAAGAACTTGGCCGTGCGTTGCGTGCCATGTGGTTTCTGTTGCACCTCCGCGAAAACCAGGCTGCCGAGAGTCTCCGCCTGGTATCCCCGCCCGATCCCGCGCCTTGTCAATGAAACCTCTGCTCACCAACTTCCGTGTGGCTCTGAAAAGCCGCAGGAGATCGAAGTGGGTCGCTCCGCCCCACTGCGAACAACTGCCTCAGGATGTGTATGGATGTGACCGTGATTTTCTTTCAGGCGAAAACGGGGCCAATGGTATGCCATGGTGGTAGGGTAAGAACTGTTTGGATCATGCTACGACTGGAGATCTCAAAATTGCTCAAGACCTCCGTGGTCAAAGCTAGCTGTTGGCTTGCAAGCATGGTTTGTACTATGCAATTCATGCCGCTTTGAAGCACCATGAAGGACCCAGACCTTGATGTCAACGTTTCTCAAACCTCTGCGCCGTCAAACAGTTTAGTCACAGTATGTCACAGTTCTTTCCAAAAACTGTCCAAGGCAATAAAACGAGCCTCACAATTGAACTTGTTCTACAAGAATTGGTTTGGTTTGTCTCTCAGTTGCCTTGTTTGAAAAGGCCTGCTGGTCAATCAGAAAGTACCTCACCGAATCTCCGTTTCTCCGGGAAGAGAGAGTAATTTGTTGGAGATTCTTCACCCTTCACCTCCTTCACCCATCTCCTTACACCCTCTGAGAACCCTCACTGGCCGCTAAATCCGGCAGGGTGAAGGACCCTTCGAAGCAGGTCGACATCTTCAGCGCCGCCATCTGAGCCGAGCTGCGTGCCAGCCCCCGGCGGAGCGAGGGGGCGAGGTCGCGAGCTCGAACGCGCGCGAGCTCGTGCACAGCACGCGCGTGCACGATCCGGAGCACGGGGCCCGAAGGCAAAGAGAAAAGTGTTGGCTTCGGACCCTTTTTCGGACCCCTTGCCACGCCAAGTCGTCCCACCCCCCTGCTATGAAGGGTCCAAGGATTAAGCATGTTTGGGATGCGTGCTGTTATGGGTGCTGAGGCCGAGTTGGAAGCCTCCGCCGGCTCCCGAGTTTGGTATCAAACATGTGGCAGTGGCCTTTGCCGAAATCCACCCGCCATCCCGACTCAGAACACTGTTGGACTGGAATCCAGAACTAGCCCTGCTTCTTCCAAGACGATTTGTCCAAGTGGTTTTAGGTGACCGAAACGTTCTCGGCACGTGCGCGGCACGTTCTCGGCGCGACCCCCGTTCTCGGCCTCGATGGGGTCTAAGGATTCGATGTTGCACACGGTGCCGCCCACCATGGCAGTGTGGCTCCAGGCCTCGGGTGGACGGTCCCGGTCGTCTCACGGTGTGGCGTCTGACGGTCGTGGCGAGCGAGCGAGCTCGTAGAGGGAATGGAGGAATGGACCTTTCCGTAGAGATTCCGTAGACGGGGTCCATTTCCCGAAGGTGCGCTGAGCAGTCAGACAGACTTTGGAGTCTTTGGAGAACTTGCGATTTGGGATTTGGGCCCATGGTGGTTTTGCCCGCCCCGGCCGTTGGGACCAACGTTTGGGGCCAAGTGAAGCGCGTTCGAACGAGTGCCGCGGGTTTTTTTGCTGTTTCGGACCACTGTGTTAAGCACTTTCGACCAGCTAGGAAGAAGTACCATTCCTGTTGGTCCGATGGTTAGCCAGGTGATGCTCCGACCACGTGGTGAACGGAGTGTCCCTGATCACCTCTGAGGCTATTAATAGACACCTCACGGAGTCAGTTCTGTGGACCTTTCAAGTGTAGGATAGCCATGCGCCTGGTATTCCTGTCGACCGATTTGAGTGCTTCCCTTTCATGTGTCAGTCCTTCGATTGGCCCTGAACCCTGTCGAAGCATGTCGAAGCTGAGACTCTTGACCCGCAAGTGGTGGGAAGTTGCGAGGATCTCGAAAAGATCCCGTCCGCTCTGCCATCCTTCCTTTGGCCAGCCGGGCTCCTGGATGCTCCTGGGCTCCTTCCTATCCGCCACCGACCTGAGCTTCCCCGCAGCGATGTCGATTTTGTCCAACGCTGCACTCGCCGACGCACCGGGCTTCACCTCACGAACTCGGACGTTGGAGCAAAACGGTGCGAAGAGGACGACCGAGGACACCCCTAGCTGCCATTTAGTGCAAGAATGTGGTCTAGCCGAGGGTACTGCATCTGTTGGATTCTATAATAATAGTAATATTCTATAGGAAATGTCTTTGTAGCCTTGCAGGTCATGCTGTTTGAGACAAAAGATAGAAAGCAGTGTGCGCAAGAGGCTGGCGTCTGTCTGCTGGCGACAGATTCCTTGCAGTTCAGTATTAGTGACTCCCACATCAATTATCATAGCCCTGCATGTGTCATATTCTGGCTTTTTATGGTGACTGCCAAAAATACACTCCCACATCAAGAATCATGGTGGAAGTGGATGGCATGGCCTTGATTTGGGAGGAGCATTTTCCGATTACCAAGCAGGTGGTGTTCACTGTGTTCACTCCGCATTCATGATTCATTCAAGGAGTGTATCCCCTTTGGCTTCGGAGTCATGTGGACGGTCGCTGCTCCACACCTTCAAATTGCCATCCTGCAAGAGCTGATCGAGCGTCTCTCGGATGTAGAGCGGATTTCCCATGGTCACCTCCACGGATTTCCGCCGGTTGCAGCCGCTCAGGAAGCGCTGAACCGCACAGCGCAGGGAAAGGACTCAACGTTTGAAGGGCGAGGTCCATCCATTCTTCCAGGTTCAGATCGGTTTGAGGCCTTTTGAGATGCAGATCCGGTTGGTCTCCTATAGGAACTCTCTGGAGAACCGTTCGAACCCCGTGGACACCTGTGGTTTTCGTCGGCCTGAGAGACGAAGCGTCTGAGAGGCGGTGGGACGGCATCTTCCGGAATGCCCAGGTAACTGGCCAGGTACTCCAGGATATGCTCTTCCTGAGCTTTCTGAGCCCACACTCAGCTGGAATCGTGGTTCCACGGGGTTGGCATGGGGGTGAGACGAACAAAGGGCCCTTTTCCCAAAGAGCAAAAAGGTGGTTTGCCACTTCCAGGACTATTTCAGACAGTGTAGCTTTGGGAGGCCTGCGATGAGAGTCCGCCTTCGGTGAAGATTCCCTTCGCCACGAGGCTTTTGGAAGGAAAGTAAGTGGATCATGTGGATTGGTTCAAGGTAAAATCTACCGAAAACCACGACTTTCACCCCCAAAACTCTGAGTGTCCTGTCAATTCTCCCTTAAACCAATTCTGAGACATGACCAAGACGGGCGCGGGCCAACGCCGTGTTGGCCACCAGGCCGTTCTCGCTCTCACTGGGTGTCACGGGTGACACGTATGCCATACTTGCATAGCATTTCCAAATTCGCTCTCACTGGTGGTTGAAAAGGGGGTCACTGAAGGCATAGTTCTCTTCCAGTGCCAGACAGGTCATGTTGAACCAACATCATGTTGAACCAACATGTCTCCGCGGACCGGACCGACCCGAGCACCGGAGCACCGGAGTCCGCTTCACCGAAGACGACCAAGCTTCGCTCAAGCCCCGAAGGGACAGGAGGTTTCCAGAGGCCATGGCGTCCTTGACGCACTGTTGCTCCTGGTTTGCCTCAGACCAAGAGACGGTGAGACGGTGACAAGGGAAGTTTGAATCATCAAAATCAGGCCGGAGTTTGAGAGGAGTCAAGTGTGCGTGCGCGTAACCAACCTCTGATGTATCAAGATGATTCAAGATGTAGACTGTAGATGAATGTACTATCTGTTGAAGACATAGAATGCTGAAAAGAGATGGATGGCTTTCCTCTACCAAGGGGTATGCCGATTTCTATGCATGCTAATGAGGGCAAAGGCTGTCCACATGGAAAGAAACTGAACAAAACTGTAGACTCTTGATCAATAACCGCCCCATTTGGATGCACGCACTTGCGAATCGTCTGAGACGAGCGCCCCCAACTGTCCCCTTCTCGGGTGTTCCGAGGGGTAATAGTGGGGTTGAACATGGTGTGACACACCGCCCCATTTGGATTGTATAAACTCTTCGTATGGGGGGGCTGTTATTCATCAAGAGTCTACGTTATGAAAAGATTGCCTGTTTGATGTTGCTTGCACTGCTAGCAGCAGATGAATCTCGGAACCGCCCGTATCAACATGCATGCTAGAAACCCGTCCAATGCGTTGATAGAAGGCTGAAAGATGTCTTCCACTGCAACCATTTCAAGAGACTTTGTGACATTCCCTCAACCTGGTCACCACTGTCTTTCTCCCGGATGCCTCCCGCACTAGAACAAGCCCTGCGACAGACCTCTCCTGAAGCGCAGAGGGCGGTTAAAGGGCGGAATTGGAGTGAGGGGTGAGAATCTCCTGAAGAAGAAACAAATCCAGGAGATTTCTGAAGACTCTGACCTCTCATGAGGGGGTGCAAATGGCCATGTGGTGAGACCCGCAATGTTTCCCGGTTCGGTGCATTTCGGTTACATGAAGGGCCTGGGTGTGGATCCCCAAAAACCCTCATGAAGACCTGCTGACCAGCTTTGTGTCCTCAGAGATGGCGCAATTAGACCTGGAAGTTGGGGGCACATTGACATGGCTTCTTCTTCGCTGCTGGGTGTTAGCGTTCACATCATCGCCCAAGAAGTCCAAAAAAACACCTCAACATGACTCATCCGCTACGTGCATGCCCAGCTGACACACGCGCATGGCGGCCCCTGTCACTCGCAGTGTCCTTGTTCACCAGCAAACTCAGCTCGGAAGTAAATCTCCAAAAAATCGCCTCAGCACGCACCATTGTCGTTGCAGCGACTGTTCCGCTGGTTTTCGCAGTGGTTGTGGTATCCTTAAGACCCTCCCTCTTGCGATCATAGAAATGGAAAATGGGAGCGGAAGACTATGACCCTGTCCAAACAAAGTGATATTATTAGTCAAAAGTTGGTGAGTCAAAAGGTAGGCGATGAAGGCTCCTGCTTGTTGCCCAAGTCCAAACCTCTTCACACAGACTTTGCTCAATTCGTGCGCAATCATGATAAATCAACAAAAACGACCAGCTGGGCTCCCAGCCAAGTCATCTTTAGCCGTCTTCTCGAAGAGATTTGTCCCCTGGAAGATCATCAGTGGGTGACGATCGACGAAGAAAACCACACTACACTCGAGCCTATAGGACCTCTTAGCCAACGGGAAAAGTGAAAGAGGATGGTGCTGATTCTTATATCATATATTCTCATGCTTCCTCCAGGTCACACCCCAGACCTCTGTCTCAACTGAGGCATACCATCATGGTAACCCCCCGAACAAATCAAGGACCAACATCTCATGAGATGCCGCAAGCATGAGGTACTACACCAAGTAGGTTTTTTCCAAATCTGCCCAACAGGTCTGGATCTTTGAGGCTTCTTGTTTGATTTGATTGTAAGTCTTTCTTTCCTCTGGGGTGTCAGTGTAAGACTCCGCCGAAGGCAAGATTCCAAACCCACCATGGGACCATATGGCCACGCTCCCCAGGCGCTCACCAAACGCATCTTCCGGTGGCCTGTTCGAATTCCAGGACCACCAAAATTCCTTGCAACGGCACATGACACGACTGGTGAAGATTGGTGGACACCAAAACCAGCTCAGATGGTTTTGCTTATTGTATATATGTATTATTCTTTTAACTCTGACTCACTGCAACTGGCTGGTCCGTTGTCCTGTCTTGCTTCTGAGGCCGGCAATGAGGGCAATAATAACCTGCGGCAGCACCACATCAGCGGTTCTATCCAGATTCTCAGAATGGTCTGCCGTCCAAAAAGAGCTTTCAAAAATGAATAATAACCACAGTGCTCGCGACGTTCCCTCGCGCTATTTCCCTCGGACAAAAAAGGGCTTCACAATGTCAGGTCTCAACTACACAAACGTCGATCGCTCGAAAACGCTTCAAGCATCACACAGAAAGGGAATTTGCTCTCCCCTTCCGGAAAGCATTTCAGGAACCTAAATTCCCGAACCAAGAAATTCAAAAAGCTCAAGCCCTTCTTCCTTCTGTCGAAGGTCAATGCTAAAGGCTCCACTAAGGAAAAAACTACCAGCGCTTCAAGCACAGGCCACATTCACCCTCAGAATCTAGCCCAGGACAGGCGCTTTCACGTTTCATCCAGAGCCCTCGACAGCCTCCGACACAGTGCCATGTTCATCACCGCACCCTCGTCATTGTAGGCTAGCACGAGCCAGTTTCAGCGCTCCCTTCATGCTCGGACAACTCCGAAACACGAAACAACAAGCTGTAGCCTGTCCAGCGCTGATGAAGGAAGTGCATGCCATGACTGCCTTTTCTAGCATCTGTTCTGATCACCTTTCGTCCATCCTCCAGCCATGCCAGGGTCACAACACACGAAGCCACCCCCCGAAGAAGCAGGAGGAACCGACAAATCGCTGTCAAACAATTTCTTTCTCAAAGCCCCATGACGATGAATCTTGATGAAAATCACCGTCCGTGGAAATTGCACCATCACCTCATGTGGGATACCGTTCATCGGCAGGTTCTCCACGAAGCGCAGCACACTATCCGCCAACAACCACGAGAACGGTCGAAGTTCGGCCTCCCTCAACCTCGAAGTTCGGTTTTCCATCACCCTACCACTCTCCCGGACTGGGAGCAAGCCAGCACTGCCACTCGCTGAACTCACATGCCCTGGAGGACCGCGATGAGATAGAACCCCACCAGTACCTTCGTGCCCTGGAGACCCTCGATCAGGTAGGCCTTCTCCTGCGCCCGCCAAACCTTCATGCCCAGGTGAACCACAATCATGTAGACCCTCCTCAGGCAATTCACCCTCTGAGCGACAACCGGCGTGGGCCCGCATCTTCTTCACCGAAACCCCCGAGCTTCCAAATCCACCCCCTCCTCTGGAAGTGTTTGACAACTCATTGGACCTCACCATAGGAGCCGTGGACGCCTTCTCCACGATGAGTTGCGCTACTCGATCTCCCACCTCAAATGCCTTGGGTGTGTCACTGTGGTTGACCATGATGATCTTGATCTCCCCCCCTGTAGTCTGGGTCGACCACGCCTCCAGCAACATCTAGCCCCTGAGCCGCAAGTGAGCTTCTGGATGCAATCCTTCCATAGCTTCCTTTTGGGAGTTCGAGGGCGATACCAGTAGAAAGGAGTCTACGCTCTCCTGGCTGGAGGCTGCAAGGCATTGTAGTGCACATATCCCACCCAACAGCCCCTTCTGAACCTCGCACCGGCATGACGGCCTCCTCGGTAAGAAGCTTCACCTTCACCTCCTCCCTTCCCGACAACAGGC